TGTGTTCAATACTTTTTCCCTGTGCCATTCCACAMTATTACAAATAACTTCATTTCTGGACATTTATGGTTTGATTTCTTTGGATGTATGGATCACTTGGGTTGTTACTGACATCTGATGAAAATTTCATTTCTTTAGCACCTCTAGTAATATACAGGGCTACATACTGTATACTGTAGGTATGGACCCCTTTAATAGAGAAACAAACATGATTAAACACTGTTGTTTAATTAAATTAAATTAAAATATACTTTATTGATCCCAAAGGGAAATTAAATGTTTTAGAAACTTAGTTTCCAAAACATGCCAATTTCAACCKCCCTCATAACAGGTCTGACAAAATCAACTTAAAAAGAAAGAGAAATTGCTTCCGGAAGATAATTACATTTTATATTTTTCCAAGTTCAGACAAACCCTTTTTAATTCTTCTAATGATAAAACTTGACAGCACAGCAATGAGTCATTTCTAAAAGTCTCTCAAAGAAAAACGGATGAAGAGAGGAGAAAGTGAACACATCTGCTTAAAGTCGACCAGGAGAGATAATGGTGATAATTTATTAATTATTATAGGAGTTTTATAAGATATTTGTGAGCAAAATATCAGTTTTTAATAAAAAAAAATCTTCATCACAATAAAACCGTAAAACATAGAAATCAGTGTGTCTAAATACATTGAAATGAATGAATGTTTTGTTCACCTGACACTTGGAATGAATCTAATAGGGAGTGGACCCATAAGAACCCAGATATCCACTGGAGTAGAGCCAAACTCATTTAATTTCTGACAGCAGCATTTATCTTTAAAGCTAAAAAAAAAAAAAATTAAAGAACAAACAATGACTCTATGAAGATTTTTGTGGTTTCTTGTTTTGTTGTTCTCCTGTATCCTTTTGATATTTCATCTTCAAAGTGATTATTGGAAAAGCATCTTAGAGATGAAGGTTTGTCAAACAAAACTAAACGGCATCCCAGCTGTCAGTGTGATACACACCAGAGCAAATCTTCTGCTTTTAAACATCAAAGAAAAGGAGGGAAATTCTGAATATCAGGCAAACAAGAGGTGGTTAACTTCCTGACAGAGTATTTTTGCTGAAACATGCTTTACGTGCTTCCTTTAACCAAAGTCCTTTCAGCTACTTTCACCTTAAAACAACCTGAAAAGAAGCTAAAATTCATAGAAACTGCAGCTCAAAGCTAAAAGGGGGAAAACAGCAGTTAAAATCTAAAATCGAACCGTAACAAAGTAAAAAGTAGCAAAACAGAAACATTTTCTTTTGCATGTCAGAAATCTTTGGTTGAAACTCAGACTTTTGGTTGATGCTCTAAGTCTTTGGTTGAAACTAATTTTTTGGTTGAACTCAAAAAAGTTTTGAACTCGGAGAATATAAACATCTGGGGCGGGCCTGCGGAGGAACTATGTAAGACATGTCTTTATTGATTACAGCAGACTGAAGCAATTTCCTTGTGTACCTGCTTTGAATGTTGCCAATACATTAAATGGCCGTTATTAGAGGTTATCAGTCCCAAACAATGTGTCCAGGTTGGAAGGCATCAATCATTTGTATGGCTGATAATWTGCATTCAGGCGCAGTGGGTTTGGCTCCTCCCCCGAGACGTGGAGCTCAAGCGACAAGCCCGGCTCGCTGTTCTTTGACCAGGTAAAGCACTCGATCTGTGGCATAGAGATCCAGGCTGTAGCCGATGGTCGCCCCAGACATTGCTAACAGTTGCTAATAGACACACAGCTGTGAGTTTTCCAGGTCTTCTCTGACATTTTTCAAACTTTAATCAGCTGATTTCTGTGGTGCGATTAACATTTCCTGCAACTTTTGTATGTTTTAGTTTGGTTTATTTGACAACGGGAGAGGGGAATATATGCAATCTTAGAAAACCAAAACCCATTATYTAACTTATAATGCAAACTGGTACCATAAGAACTAAAATTTAAACTGTAGTTAATAGTAGCTTAAAGAAAAAGTAGCTTAAAAGTAAGTAAGTACTGTAAGTAAGTAAGTAAGTAAGTAAGTAAGTAAGTAAGTAAGTAAGTAAGTAAGTAAGTAAG